AATTCCTGCCCCATCCCCAGGGGTTAGAGCGGGGCCCCAAAGGGAACATTTACAAATATTTTAAAATTCTTATCCTTTGATGACATGACAAGTATTGTATTTCACTTAGTTTACATGCTGATTTCCACATCACATCTAAACAATAAAATAAAGCTACCAGTACCTATGATATAACTCAGGTGACCGCTAAGGCCCTTGGGCCTCTTGTTTTATCATAAAATTCTGAAACGATATCGAACCAAATGCTGCACACTAATCATGCAATGGAACTGATTCATTCATCACAGTGCTAACTCATTCACCCCTACATTTTTAAAATGAACTTGCCGAGCCTTTGATTCGGTAAGGTTCAAATGTGACTTTAGAAGTGAATGAGTTAAATCCACATCAAAGTACTGTATATTAAACTGCAATTTATTCCTGCCAGTGTTGCTTATAATGACAGCAATTTTCAGGTGATTGTCATCATGTGTAACATAATTGTATTGTTGTCGTAAGGCTAGAGACTCCGAGACCTGGGTCAAGTAACATTAAAAGTCTGGTTAGCTTAACGACAACTTAACACAGAAATTTCTTCTGATGTTATTTTAAAATATTGATATTCAAACCTAAAACTGTATCAATGATATTTTAAATATCACCTACAGACAAAGAAAAACACAAAATATTTAAAAAAAAAAAAATCAAAATTTCAAAAATTTATAATGAAATTAATATTTATTTTCTCTTAAACTGAACATGCTTTGAACAGCCGAACATATTTGATTATGCCTGGTCATCTGCAGTCCCCCAGTACTAGTGTGACTGTATATCTATATATTTGAAGACAGCAAACCAACGGATTAGTCTTTTTCAATTATGCAAGATTTGAGAAGAGGAATTATTAGTATGTTTATCTGAAAGAACAGTAATCTTGTCCATGCATACTTTTTTCTTCAATTTACTTGTGTTAAGTAAAAGTTAGGTGCCGGTTTGCTATATTTATGACATTATATCATTTATGTAACGGCAGGTAAAATACTTGAGGTATGATACTGGTCTGGAAATAATATTATTCATCCATTTAACAAATATATTTGATCAGCCATAACAAAAGATGATGTCAAAAAAATGTTTTAATATATATATGAACTAGAATTATAATTGGGATGTTAATAGTGATACAAATTAACGTTATATTTGATTTCAGAGGTTAGCAATAGCCAAAGAGTTCGGAGACAAGTCAGCTGAGAGGAGGGCGTACAGCAACCTGGGCAACGCTCATATATTTCTAGGAGAGTTTGAAGTTGCAGCTGAACAATATAGGTATAACGTTGTTCTTTCAAAGATTTTTGTGCCTCCACAATCAAATTTGGATTTGAGGGGCATATAGTATTACCAATATCCATCTTGTCCCATCACAGTGCATGACATATGCATATTAGGGCTGCAACAATATGCATACCTCACGATGCAACTTCATAAAGATCGAGTGCAGGATTTTAAAGAGTTTTTGTCATAGACTTCAATAGTAAACACTATCAAAATATATTTCTGTATAATTTCTTGTACTTTGGGTATGACTGCACAGTGGACCACATCTTTACTGAAGGATTAAAAAATATAAATTCACTTTTTTAGAGTTTGATAAAAATTGATTGATAATTTAAGTACTGTTAGTGTATTGTAAAACAGGTAAACAAAACAATTTGACAAGATACACAAGAAAGTATTGCGATGCGATATGATATATCGTTGCAGCCCTAATGCATATGCTTATCTAACTGTTTCCACCTACATTGAGGTCAAACTGAAGGAGTAAGACCATATGGCTGCAGCATCCACAAAATATAACATCAATGGAAAATTTGTCAGATTATGGTTTGTTATTACAGAAGAATGTCTCAGATTAGTGAATAGCTCTTATGTGACATTGCAAAATAATGCTACAAATTTAAAACACATTTAGTTATAAAATACTTAATGGCAGAGTGCAATACATACTAATAGATAGCTTTTGATTTTACAGGAGAACTCTACAAATAGCCAAGCAATTGGGAGACAAGGCGTTGGAGGCCCAGGCCTGCTACAGTCTGGGGAACACTTTCACACTCCTTCAGGACTACGAGAAGGCTATCGAGTATCATATGAGACATCTAAAAATAGCACAGGACCTGAATGACCGTGTGGGTGAGGGCAGGGCGTGCTGGAGTCTAGGCAATGCACACTCTTCACTAGGAAACAATGAGATAGCCTTGGAATTTGCCAGTAAACACTTGCAAATATCTAAAGAGGTAAATAAAAAATAATAATATATAACACTAGTCATCATTGTAGTTGTGACTAGCCGGGTAGGTGCTGGTTCATCTCCCTCACCCTGAAGCTGTATTTTTCATAGCTGGACAAGCCTCGATAAATTTACAAGTAGAATATTTTAAAAAAAATCAAGTTGTATCCTTGAGTCTAAATGTGAAAATGTAAAGTTTGAGCATTCTAAATCAATTGACTAATGTCTTATTCCTGAGGAAGTTTAATTTAAGCATGGTAATCCTAAGGAAAAGACATCATGAACAGATCATTTTGTTTATAAAAACTATGAAATAAATCAAATGTTTGAAAAGAAAAAAGAAATGTGTATTAAAGGTTGTTTTTTTAGGAGATTTATACTTGCATTATGTTTTGTTTTGTATTTTGCTGTCTACAGATTGGTGATGAAAATGGTCAGTTTTCAGCTCAGATGAACTTGGCAGACCTGAGGAATGTATTGGGTATAAACATGTCCTCTTCCGAATCTACTCCAGGGGTCATCAGGTACGTTCTTGTGGCTATATATTAATATTAAATTTTATTGACAATTTTAATAATGTTTAGATGCAGTCCATAAGTTCAAATTCTTCGTACTTACCTTCAAAAGCCTGCCTTATACCATATTTATTTGGCAATAAGCTCATGCTTGGTAATTAGCCCACCAATATGTATGGCAGTTAGGAAGAAATGCCAACAAAAACATTTTCATTGTCCTGTAATAAACCCAACCCCCTACTTTCAGTCAGTGATTACATGTTGATCACCTAGGCTTATTGCAGGATATATACGGTAATACCATTGTTCTCAGTAAGGTATGATAACAGTGATGCAGAAAATCATTCCAGGTACTTGTGCTACTGTGAAAAGGGCATACCGTAGTTTTCAGTGGAACTTTGCCAGCTGATATTTTAATTTGTACATTTTACTTCATAGTGGGGACAAAATATGAAATGGAGATTAAATTGACTGCAGAGTTTTACCTGACACGCATAGCAGGCTTTTAATCAATTCTTGTACTACTTGCCTGTTATAAATTCAGTCCAAATTACCCAAGTTGACCTAACACTAGTAAATGATGGTCCTTTTCTTCCCAAAATGTTTACCTAAATCCTACTTCAAATTCAGGTTTCTAGTTAGTGTCAAGATGCTCAGAACTTTTTTGGACTTACCTGAGGTTCTTGCTGTCACAGAAAGAGGCTCCGTACCACATGTTGTGCCCAATGTTATAAAGTGATGGGTATAAACTTGTCCTCTACCTAATCTACTGCAGAAGTCATCAGGTAGCTTCTTGTGTACCTTCTGATAGTTAATGTATGTTTTGGTAGTGACCAGCTCATGTGTTCCATAGGGAAGTGGTATTTCCTCAATTAATTGAAATCATCCTTGTGTTGCAGCCACGATGGGAAGTTAAAGGATGAAACAGATCTTGGTATCAGTAAGTAATAATTCTTATGATAAAAACAATATACAGTATGGGCGAGAATATCTAGCAAGAAAAGCCCCAAGAAAATGTAATGCAGTCCCTAGTCAAAAGAGGATACATTGGCAATATTGCACCGGATTTGGCTACTTATTTACAAGAAACCTTTGCCTTTTTGAATGAAAAGGTCACAGGTCAAGGTCACGTTAAGCTATTTTTGAGTGCAAGCAAATTTCCAATGACAATGTAAATAAGAATTAATGTTTATCATGCATATAATGATGGTAGGGGGCTAGCCAGTTTATATTATTGTACATCAGCTGTATCACAACCAAGGGTAAAGACATCAGAGATTTGTTGACAGAGGTCAAATACAAGTAAGATGGGTGATACAGGTTCAAAAGATCACATTCTAGAAATATGGCTACAACCTGAAAATCTTGGAGTGGTGGAAACTGTTAAGATCCAACTATTATCCAACACCTTTCTCCTCTACCACAGGCAGACGACCTTTCCGGCGACACAGCATGGAAAACATGGAACTGATGAAGCTGACGCCTGATAAAAAGGTCTGTGTGGCGAAACTTTCATTTTACATTGATCATGATCAGCTACGTAACTACATATTGCCGACAGCCAAAAATGTATATGAAGTAGTTAGAGTTAGAAAAATTGATGCTTTTAAAAAAATCACGAAAAGTGAGTATATTTGTTTCAAGAGGATTCTTACAATTCAAAATTTAGCTATGCTAAGACTTACTTTGTGATTTTCTTGCTATGTTAAGACTTATGGTAATTTGACTCAGTGATTTATGAATTATCCATAGTAGATTCTAAGGGGTACTTAAGTATACCCTTACCACTGCCAAGAACTGAAACTACATGTCCGAAACTTTTTTTTTTTTTTTGCATGACTAATAGCTATGATAAATAATTTCTAAAACAAAAACCATACCTTGTGGGACTTTTATGAGAAACAATAAAGATGAAATTAACCAAATGTAATCAACAACATTGCTGTGAAAGTACCTGGATTCGAACCCCGGACTTCAGATTGGTGTACCAATACTCTAACTGATGGAGCTACCTTGTCAATAGAAGTGTCCTGGCCCAGCTGTGCTACTGTTATATCCGAACAGAAGTTAAGGGGAGGTTACTGTATCATACTTGCCAACTCTCCCGATTATGGAGGGAGACTTCAAATTTTGGACCTTAAAATTGAGCATTTTCAACCAACTATCCTTAATTTCTAAGGTCTGCTACTTTCATCTGAAAGAAAAGCTCAAAAGATGTCGTTTTAAGGAGTTATATTTCCCTAGGACGAATATGGAAATATTTTATTCATGCTTTTAACTCTGAGCAAATGCAATCTCCCCCATGGAAATTTTAAAAAGTTGGCAAATGTGCTGCATAAAGGAAAAACCACAATGCAGTGGAACAGGGCTCCTTAACACATGATTACGATACCAGATACTTTACTTATGTTTTACATGTTACAGGGTGCCCTACCTACTGCTAATGGAGGGGCTCGACCGAAGGTTCCAAAGTTCCAGAAGGCAGCCAGTATAGCTTCTAATTCAGAACTAGAACACAGACCCAAGCTCACTAAAGATAAGGTAAACTCATTACTTGTGAATACAAATAATTGGTTTTTGTTTATGAAACTTATTCAGAACTACAGTTGTGTGACCGCACAACACACCAAAAATACTGTGCATACATCATTCACACACCGTCCGCACATCGTCCACACATGGTGCGCACAACTGGGCGATTTAACAATCGTTCGCCCCGTTGTGTGCTTCTCTCCGCACAACTGTGCGATTAGGTAAAATTTGTTGATCAATATTATGGAATGAAAAAAATACGGAGGCTCGTATGCAATAATGTACACTGCATTTTTTATTGTAAATTCTCATCACAATAATTAAGATTATGTACAATTTCACAATGCATGTAACACAGTATTACAGTGACCGTTAGACTGTCAAGAATGGATTTGGCTCCTAGCTAGGTAACAGAACAGGTAAATAACAATTTGATGAGTTACCGGAGTTTTAACTGGCCTGTGCCTGACGTGTAGAGCTGATATGTGATACCGTATACTGTTATGAAAACACAACTGGGCGTTTAGAATTTGTTATTTGCGTTCGTTTTAATCTTGGTTTTCACACCTTGGTGTGTTACGTAAGTGTCCCGGGCGGGGGGAAACTACTGTCCAGGTACAAAGTGGCTATGTTTACCTTTGTTGCCGAGACTGTGTTGTAAGTTTACATGTGTCGATTCTAAAAGTAAGAAAGTATAGACAAAAAGAAAAGCTTTTAGATGAAGCTAGGATAGGGAAACATACTTACAAATCAAGTTTATATTTTTAAACACTAAACCATATATATTGTTTAGCCGTTCCTCAATTTACACCAACCACGATTGTTATTGCACAACGTTCGTCGATCGTCCGCACAAATGTGCGCAAGCAATGATCGTCCAACTTTTTATCGTTCGCACATCGTGCACACATCGTTCACACACCGTGCGCACATCGTGTAACGTTGTGCGATCCCACAACTGTATGTAAAATTACTTAGCAGTACTTAATGAATATATATCCATTAATCATATTTGAGGGATAATCTTTTGCAACAACAAGATAAGATTTGTGTTAATAAAAACAAGTTGAGTTTAAGTGGATTCCATCAAATTGTAATTTGTTTATTTGGCCATAAACTTGAATCGTTACAGTCCATAGACACGGGTTCTGGAGATGAAGACAGTTTCTTTGATCTAGTCAGCAAGTTCCAGAGTAGGCGAATTGATGACCAACGATGTTCTTTCAAAATTGAGCCTTCTGTTCCGACCCCTACACCTCCAGTTGTAACCACAGTGCCAGTGGCGACAAAGAAAGCCAGCATAGCAGGTAATACAAGGTGCCTCTGTACCTAGGTACCAGGGTATAAGTGGAAATATAAGTTACCAATCAAAATAAGTCACTTATGTTTCATCCTTGATACTCCAGGGGTAACGCTCACTTTCGCTCTCCGCACCCCTGGAATATGTCATAGCAGAACTGAAGTTACCCGTCTAGCTATTTAATTGGTCTCTGGTAAAAAAAATCTTATCAACCACTGGGCTGATACCGGTTGTCTTAAGATTACAGAGGAGCGAGTCAATGTTACTGTTAGGTGGCCGAGAGATTCTTTTGATGTACATCAGAGGATCAAACTAGTCTTCCTTTGTTTCCACAACATGGCGTAGACTGAGCCTTGATTTTGCTATGAAATATTACAAGGGTCATTGAACGTAAGCGAGCGGATCCCTTGGAGTATTTAGTATGTATGTGATTTATTAAAGCAGTACGGCACATAATTGAGGGTGAGTTCATCCGTTCATGGGTCCATTTGTAAACATACTTTGGTACCATTTATAAATGTTTGTCAACCGAAAAGCAAAGATGACATAAAAAGATCACTTTATTGTGTCGGCATCAGCACAAATGGATTCCTCATGCTAACTCTTGAAGGAATCATTTGATTTTCATAAAACTTTTTACATAGGCCTATAATACCAATTACCCATTCCAGTTCAATTTTGAATCAAATCTGAAAATCAATATGGTCGCTAAGGAGGGCAGGAAACACATCTACATGTGAGAAATTATTAGCTTAATTACCTGCCCAAAGAGCAAGTGAGCTTATATCATGGTGCCGCGTCCGTCTTTCCGTTCATCGTCGTCAGTCAAATTTCCTTTTAAACAACTTCTTCTGAAGAACGGACAGGCATAGAGTCAAGATGTTTGGCTAAAAGCTTCATTGGTAGGAGACCGACAAAGTCTGAGAAAGAAAATGACCTTGACCTACCTTCAAGGTCAAATGTGTCAAACACTTCAAACGACTTCTTCTGAAGAACTTATAGATATAGAATCTTCATATTTGGCTGGTGCCTTCCTGGAATGGAGCCCGACAAAGTTTAATAATGATAATGACTATGACCTACTTTCAAGGTCAAAGGGGTCAAATGTGTCAAACACTTCAAACGACTTCTTCTGAAGAGTTAAAAGGTATAGAATCTTCATATTTGGCTGGTTGCTTCCTGGGATAGAGCCCAACAAAGTTTGAGAATGAAAATGACCTTGACCTACTTTCAAGGGCTCAGGGGTCAAATATGTCAAACACTTCAAACAACTTCTTCTAAAGAACTAAAAGGTATAGAATCTTAGTATTTGGCTGGTCTCAGGGGTCAAATATGTCAAAAACATCAAACACTTCTGATGAATAATCAAAAGGCATAGAATCATAATATTTGAGTGGTCGCTACTTGGGATAGAGCTCGCAAAAGTTTGCAAATGAAAAGGATCCAACCTACTTTAAATTTAAAGGTCACAGAGGTCAACACCATTTCAAACCATTTGTTCTGAAGAACAAAAAGGAATGGATTCATAAGATTTGGCTGATAGCTTCTTAGGATAGAGCCAACAAAGTTTGAGAAGGGAAATGACCTTGACCTACTTACAAGGTCACAGGGGAAAATATGTCAAACACTTCAAACAACTTCTGAAGTTTAGAAGAACCAAAAAGTATAGAATCATATATTAATATTTGGCTTGTAGTTTCAACAGATAGAGCCGACAAAGTTTGTGAGTGAAATGTTTGTAGTACAGTATAATATTTAATGAGAATATTTTGCTATGACTGCTTAAATATTCAGGTGAGCCATACAAGCTCTCTGGGCCTTTTTTTGTTCATAATATTTGTCATGTCAGGATGTTCAATGTCTTAGTCCAAAACAAAAATAGATATTATAGCAGTAGGAGATTTACTTTGTCTCTAGCTCACTAAAGTTCAGTGATAAGGACAGTGTGCTGCCAGTGATATCATAATTCTATCAAATTCTTTTTTGACCTTATGCTGTTGTGTCTTTGAGGGTAACACTGTGACCATCATTTGTTTGTGATGCAGTAATTGCTTAATTATGCATTATTCTTGTTCTGATGGAGTAAACATTTTTATGTATTTCCACCAAAACACAATATATACATACAGTATAAACATGTAGCTATTTTTGATAAAGTTAGCTTTCTGCTGGATTTTATGCTACTTATAAGATATCCTGTATTAAATCTCTTACAAATACATCCCTTAATACCGTTTTTTTGTAAACTAAAGTATCAGAAGGAAATGAAGAGTTCCTTGACATGGTGGCTGGGATCCAAAGTTCACGGATGAATGACCAGCGAGCGGCCCTGCCACAGTTCCCCGGTCTAAACTCACAGGACGTTATTGACCAGTTCCTAAAGCAGCGGAGCGACTCCCACGTCCCCGANGCATTCTACTTTATCCTTACATTGTGTTACAGGTTAAGTGGAGGGCATAATGCATTCTTCTTTATCCTGACATTGTGTTACTGGTTAAGTGGAGGGCATAATGCATTCTACTTTATCCTTACATTGTGTTACTGGTTAAGTGGAGGGTATAATGCATTCTACTTTATCCTTACATTGTGTTACAGGTTAAGTGGAGGGCATAATGCATTCTTCTTTATCCTGACATTGTGTTACTGGTTAAGTGGAGGGCATAATGCATTCTACTTTATCCTTACATTGTGTTACTGGTTAAGTGGAGGGTATAATGCATTCTACTTTATCCTTACATTGTGTTACAGGTTAAGTGGAGGGCATAATGCATTCTTCTTTATCCTGACATTGTGTTACTGGTTAAGTGGAGGGCATAATGCATTCTACTTTATCCTTACATTGTGTTACTGGTTAAGTGGAGGGTATAATGCATTCTACTTTATCCTTACATTGTGTTACAGGTTAAGTGGAGGGCATAATGCATTCTTCTTTATCCTGACATTGTGTTACTGGTTAAGTGGAGGGCATAATGCATTCTACTTTATCCTTACATTGTGTTACTGGTTAAGTGGAGGGTATAATGCATTCTACTTTATCCTTACATTGTGTTACAGGTTAAGTGGATGGCATAATGCATTCTTCTTTATCCTGACATTGTGGTACTGGTTAAGTTGAGGGCATAATGCATTCTACTTTATCCTTACATTATTTCTATTCGCCTTGTTTCCAATAATTAAGGTGTGAACCATACAGTGTTAGACCTTTAACTGTATTGTGTAGAAAATAATTGTAATTCATACAAAAATTTCAGAACTTTCCACTTTGGCCTTTCAAGGAGTGTTTATCATCAAAACTGCATTGACAGCTTGACTAGGACAGGACTACAAGGGTAGCTTGACTGTTTGACTAGGACAGGACTACAGTGACCTTAGCTTGACCGTTTGACCAGGTCCACAGTAATCTTAGCTTGACCATTTGACCAGGACAGGACTACAATAATCTTAGCTTGACTAGGACAGGACTACAGTGACCTTAGCTTGACCATTTGACCAGGACAGGACTTTGATGACCTTAGCTTGACCATGTAACTAGGATAGGACTGCAGTGACCTTCACTTGTCCGATCAACAAGGACAGGACTTCAGTGAAAGCTTGACCATTTCACAAGGTCTGGACTACAAGGATAGCTTGACCATTTGACAAGGACAGGGTTACAAGGATAGCTTGAACATTTGACAAGGACAGGATTACAAGGAAACCTTGACCATTTGACAAGGTCAGGACTACTAGGATAGCTTTACAATTTGACAGGGACAGGACTTCAAGGATAGCTTGACCATTTAACAGGGACAGGGCTACAAGGATAGCTTGACCATTTGACAAGGTCAGGACTACAAGGATAGCTTGACAATTTGACAGTGACAGGACTTCAAGGATAGCTTGACAATTTGACAGGGACAGGACTTCAAGGATAGCTTGACAACTTGACAGGGACAGGACTTCAAGGATAGCTTGACCATTTTGACCATTTGACAAGGACAGGACTACAGGGATAACCTGACCATTTGACAGGGACAGTTTGACCACAAGTCTACAGGGGAATAGAAGTGTTGTTTAAGTTTAGTGAGGTTTGCGTATATTGATGAGGGAATTCTTTGAAAAAAAAGCCAAAGTGACAGTATTTAGACATATACAGCCCTGAATTTAACATGCTGAGGTATCAGTACACTTGGTATTTAGGTACTCATTGTGTTTCATACAATCATCACATGCAACAGAGCAAGGCTTGATCAGTTTTAAGTAAAGAAATATGTTCAGGAAAGGCTTCAAGTATTATTTAATTTGATTAAGACAGTTGTAGACTAAAGATTACGCTAGGAGTTTGTCTCGTATGTAATGTGACGGTCAATCTATCGTTGAGACTACTTTTGACAACCTTACGACCCTCGTTAGGTAGCAGAAGTAATAAACCATATTTGGCAGTAGGTAAGTTATTAAACTCACCCGTGTGTACTAAAGTTTTGTTTATACGTGTGACACACTGCACAGACCACGGCAACACTTAACCTCAACTCTAATTTCAAGTCCAAGGGATTTATAAAGGTCAACCACACAAGATTCCAGTGTTTCCATAGTACCAATCTTAATAACATTATATACAAGGCATATTTCTGCTGTATTATATAAAAGCATATTGATTCAGAACAAAATCAGCAGCTGAATCTTTTGAATTAAACATGAAATTGTACTAAAGGAGATAGTTTATTTGATCCTGTGTTTGACCTTCCATGAATTCCTGGACACCCTGCATCATTTTGGTACATCAACCTTGCTGCACCTTAGGTACTTGACCATTACAAGCTGTAAAATTAAACCTGAACACTTTGAAACATTCTAAATTCACACATGTGTTAAAATTAGGTGAACTAGCAAATGGAAACTGTCTTAGTATTTCAATATGTTTTATTTTGTGCTCAATATACTCTTTTCTAATTTTATATATAAGAGTATGTTATTTATATCAGACATATGACATTGAGCATGTTCTTCACACGTATAACGCACTCAGCTTTCACCAAAACGACCATGGTTCGATTCCCCGATTGGTATGGGTTTTCCTGCCGTACTCAGTGGGTTTTCTCCAGGTACTCCAGTTCCCTACCACATTAAGACCACCAAGCGTGCTAACATCCGGGCCAACAAGAGTGATTGATATAATCATGCTGAAATATTTTTTTCATAATTGTTGAAAACTGACACATGTAGAGACCCTGTCGACATGGACAAATCATTACATCACACAATGTGTTTATCACAAAACCTGACACGAGTAGAGACCAGAACATGGCAAACTCTCACCGTACCTCATGTTAGTTTTGGCCAAGGAAATAGTTATTTGTTCTATTCAGATCCCTGTTTCCCTTTGGGATATTTTTAGTTAACCATAGATAATTTGTCTTTGTCATCATGTCTACAGGAAAACAGTACATCAAGAAAACATAATGTTAAAGGAAAAGTGACATGAAGTGGCGTGATATTAAGTGAAAAGTGGTGTTATAAATTATAAAACAAATGTAGCAGAATGTGAATGGTGGTGAGCACCTGGTAGTGTTTTGAAGCTTATATCAGGGGAGCATGTAAATGGGCTTGATTGTAGGCATGGAGCACGACCCTGTGTATACTTTGGTGTGTTGCTCAGTGTAGATTGATCATTCCCCCCCCCCCCCAACAGCCTCACCCTATTACAGTTATGTTAAAGTTTGAACACTTGAAAAACACACACACACACCTTGACATTTATTTACCTGGTAAAAGTCAGTTATCTTAAAGGAATTTAGAACATTTATCATAAAATTTATTTTCCAAAGTAATATTTATTTTAGATTAAGATGAAACAATTGAACAAGGCGTGTGTAATTACCATTTCATACTATATATATATAGATACAAAATAAAAGAAAATGAATTAAAGCCTGTGAGACAGGAAAAAGATCAATAATTTGAAATTCACAAGAAGATTGATTCTTTGTTGAAGCAAGGCATGTTCATTTACCATTTCATACTACATCTGTATATATTTAGATACAAAATAAAAGAAAGAAATTGAAGTCCTTGTGACAGGAATTTAAAAAGAAAAAAATCAAAATCACAAGAAGACCAAATAACGAGGCCTTTGCAGCTTTTCAGTAGAACATATATGCATATGTACAGAGTTATTTTTGCCAGTTTGAGGGTTCAAGATTTTGACTTGCAATTTGATGATAAAATGTCTAACTGTTTTTGAGTATGTCCTCAATATCATTCACCTTTTAATGCACAGGGTTCAAGGATTGAAGACCAGAGAAGTTCCTTGCCACAGTCCAACATCCCTGCTCCCACAGTGCCCGACGAAGATTTCTTCAGTCTTATCCAGAAGGTACAGTCATCGCGATTGGAGGAGCAGCGCACAAGCCTGCCGGACAAGCCAACAACGGAAACACAGGGGAAGAAGAAAAAGAAATGAACAACAGAGTTGTAGTAATGAATGTTTAACCGTACCAATCGTTGGCTACTTGTACCCAAGGTGTTGGTCTGTTTGAACCGCGCCTTGCAAATGTTGGCTACTTGTATCAAGAGCCGTAAATACCCCTGACTCCAATACATAGGGTGCTTCGTGTAGAATTTTACTTCTAAGTGTCGGTAGAGGACTAACTGTGCAGGACAATTCCAATCCACAGGGATGTGACAATGATTGGCCGTCCGCAGTGTCCACCATAGGCTTGGCAGCCGATATATCGCTGGGAGTTTTACCTAGTTAACTGGAGTGTGACACAACGATCTGGTATATGTCCATAACCACTACACAAAACAAGGGACACACCGCACTGGATAGTGGACCAAATTGCTCAGAATACTTTATATTTTGGATGGCGACAAAGAAATCGGACTATATTTTGTCAAGTTCTAGATGTTCCTCCTGTTCTTCAATACTATATTGTGACAATCATTTTAGCGTACGTTTTAAGTATGTGCCGATAAGCTGTGTAGATTTATACTGCACTATACAGTGTGTCTAAGTCTTTGTTGGATCACTCTTAAATAAGACTTCCAACTATTCAAGCCCGTTCTTACTACATGAGACATGGAAACACTTTCTGAATAGGTTTCCAACCGTCGCCATGCAGACATCTTGTATGAAGTGTACCAGCATTGATGGAGATGTTAGCACATGTAGGTGAGGCGGAGTAAAGACGAGACCACACCTGTAGCAGGAAACGTGGGCAATGACTGACCCCATGATTCGTGCCAGTACAATGGGACAGACAGATTTTAAAACTATTCTTGATATTCATGTGTCTTTATCATAATGTAGAATGCAAAGTCCATGCATTTTGAGTAAGTTGTTCCATATCATTGTAAGGAAATGTGGCATTCTCTTATCATTTATTCCCAAAGTATAATGATATCAATAATTTTATTTGCAATCGTCTTTCCCCTTTAAAAACTTGGAACATAGAACAAACATAAAAACACAGTATTTTTGCATATCTATTTTTTTCTTATACTGGAGTATATGCTAATTGATTAGTATAGACTACAGATGCGGCTTGAGTTAGGACTAGCTATATATAGATTGTGTTTTATTCAATTCAACCAATCAATTAAAGGGTAATGTTTTTAATAAATTTGATTATCCAAAATTAATCAATTGAACAAAATCACTTTGGATAACTGGATATATCCTTATTTAGGCAGTAATGATATTTTAGCGCTTCAGCTTTTCACCATTATTAGAAAGCGCTCCATTGTGATAAAAGCTACGTTTATCAGCAGTGTACGCCTATACATATTATACTTGCCAGCACTGAATCCTGATTTGTGAAACCTGAAAAATGTTGCCAGTGTGTTAAAATTTGTACATTTACGGTACGTAAAGATAAATTATACTGTAACCATTTATCTGCATCAGTTGCATATTGGCCAATCCATGTAGCTATAGCAGTAAAGGTGATGTGCAGTGTTGTTCTTCAATAGCTACTTGTCAGCAAAATTAACATCAGGAACAGGTTGACCGCCTTCAGAAGGAATCTCAAAGATATTTTTGTGAGACTTAACTTCAAATGGATATGACATGTATTTATCCCTGTGTTGGATTCTCTACAGAAACGTGAAGGCATCACGTAGGTTATTCGTTAAAAATGGGTTACAGCTAATTTTTGGCAAAAGATTTCCCTATCAAAAAGTTATATAAAAGCATGACAGGTTATCAAACAAATTCTGAACTTTGGATAGTACCTTGCTCTAGAAAAACAATTTCTCAAAAAAGCTGTTTTGTAATAAGCATGAACATTACCATGCATAGAAATTGTATGTTTTTAGCTAGTCCAGAGTGTACTGCTTACAACCCATCTAGATGAGATTTTGAAGAATACCAAAATGACATTTGAATGCGTAATATATTGTACTTGTCGTTAGTTAATTCAATCATATTTAATTCGCAACAAAAACAACACGATAATGTTTAAGAAATGCTGAAAATCTGCAGGAACCTACGATTAGTGTTATTTCACTCTCAGCTGATCTAGGTCGCATACAGCTGCCTTTTAAGATTATGTGCCTATCATTCTGTAAAAGTGATTTGATCTTATATCACAAAACCATGTTTACCTACACCATGTTTGGTTCAGTGTGATGTATATCCTACAGTAACTTTTTTTGCACACCATTGGTCATGATCAAGAAATCTGGGTTCTTACAAAAAAAAAAGAATTCCTTAAAAGATTTGAACATTACAGAAAGCTGTTTCACAAACGAACCTTTACAGAATTTTGACAATTCACCAACAGTATCACCACCTTTACCAATATTTTCTTGCATGTTTGTTCGCCTAAGGAAAAATGCATCTGTAGCAGCTTGGTCCTTTTCGGAAAATGATATTATAATGATAAAATGGTGTCTTTTCAATCCAATACTGGTTAAATACAAACACACTTATTTATAATGAAGTCAAATTTGCATTGCTTGCTGTCAAGGAATTCTTGCAGACATATATCCATGTATCTGTATGGCAGATTCCATGTAATTTCTTAGATCTGATTTGGTCACTTATAAACTTATTTCACTGTATTGGTAAAAATATAACAGTGAAGTACTATGTGTATATTGATGAGTGTAAGTTGTCAGGGTGAATCCATGATTGGTTATCACCAACAAGATATATGTCATTTCCGAGATACTTTTTCTCTCCAAATTCTATTGTGTTTGAGATACACATGTCATGTGATAGGGGGGGGCATGTGTACATTGGGTATACACCAAAACTGAGAGATGCACGAAACAGTATAAAAAAAAAATGGTATTCCATTCCAGACTGCATGTCTAACAACAGGGTACTAGTCAGCAGATATCCCATTCTTGAAGCTATTTTCGTCCAAATTTGTCAATGTTTTACCTGATACAGTTGGTCTGCAAATGATTTACTTTTACACCGAAAGTATATATATGCCTCCCTTAATATACCCTGTGACCCCCAAATCATGTGACTTTTATTTTCGGGAAGTTGAATCTCGGAAACAACGGTATTGCCCAGATAATTTTAAAAGATGTTTTCAGTGTAAGAAACAGCTAGTATGGTTCGAAATATGTCATGAATATAAATCTTTGAATAATAATCCAAAGATAGGTGTAAAAATGTATTACTCCCTGTAAAATGAATTCACAATAAACAGAACTAACCAGAATAACAAGAAGAATTAATTTGTCTTTAAAAAAAGATCAAGATATGTATTTTGGTCATTTAAAATGTCAGCATTATTTTGATATATCAGATTGAAGATATTTTAAGTAATATTTTTGTATCGATAGAGTGAAATAATATTTCTGCACGTAACAGAAGTATGCACAGATATATATATATATAGAGCAGTCTTTTTCACCTTGGTATTAACTAGAACACTAGAAATTATGAAAAATAATAATAATAATAATAATCTTTATTTAACGCCGTGTACAATTGTCAACAACAAACATAAGCTTTGTAGAGCTTTTATTACGACGCCGCTAAGGGAACAAATGGTGTTTTCGTTAATTAGATCCTTACATGTATTCATTGAAACCTTTTACTTCCTGGTCGACACTCGACACTTAGTCCACACAGTTCGGGTGATGAACTGTGTATGAATGCAGCAGTTGTTCAAAGTGTTTGTCAGGGAACAGATTATAAAACTATTTTTTTTCCACCACCACTATAGGTTTCCTCACTCCCAACTCATTAGATTAACATGCTAGGAGTTGGTAACCATTTTAGCTACCCACTAATTGGTTAGCACCCTGGGCGTGATTCTGTTGGGCAATTTTCTTATTATGACATCAAGTAACAATGCCCTGCGACATCATCTTCCATTGTGACATTATAATTCATGGCAAATGTTTCCGCTATCAGAAATGGAAAATGTACCGGGTATGTATGTATTTTTACCAGTAAGGGCATCGTTGCAAGTACGAGAAACTATATTTTGCTTGATAGCACATTTCTTACAAGTATGAACAACTCTACTTTGCCATGGTAATATTATCATTATAAGTATGAACAACAATATTCTGTCTTGTTGTTGGTACAGTAGTTCTGACGAGTACAAATAACATATCATCATGATAGGAGAATTGTTACAAATAGGCACAACTATTTCTCCCCATGGTAGTAGTACAAATTGTATATTTTTTTCACATTTTATGATTTTTTTGCCATGGTTGGAAAATTGCTACAAGTACAGGAAACAATTGTTTGCCTTGATACTTGTTTATATACACTTCTAAGAAGTTCAACAGAACAGTAGCTTTCTTTGGTAATTTGATAATGATGCCTACAATTAACCTTTTTGTACTTTTTCCCGTTTGTTACAAGAACAAGCAACTTAACTTTGCCCTAATATGAAGTTCAATTGTACATGAACAATTTTAGTTTGCCATGATAGTACATTTGTTACAAGAACAAGCAATTTACTTTGCCATAATATACAATACAATTATTGATGAACAATTTTACTTTGCAATGAGAGTACGTCATTTGTTGCAAGAACCAGCAACTTTACTTTGCCATAATATAAAGTTCAATTGTGCATGAACAAGTTTACTTTGTCATTATAGTACCATATGTTACAAGAACAAGCAATTTACTTTAATAGACATTGCAATTATACACATATAAACAATTCCCTTTGGCTATCTCATACTAATGTTTGTATTGATGTCGTGTGGCTTAAGTATATCTATATTCTATCCGTTCATTCATATTATATTAATCAGAAATGGACAATATTTTCATCACATTATAAAGGGAAATAAGCAACTGTGGGAGAGTTTGTTTTGCTTACAGAGAAAAAAAAAACATGAATATTTTTTTTCATTTTATCAATTATAATGACATTAAATTATCATCAATCTCAAAAAACTGCAATAATTTGATTTTAGCTCATAATGTTTATCAGAGATTTCAAGTTGTTGTGAATATTTCTTGGTAAATTTGTTTGCCAGTTCATACAATATTCTTTGTCATGATGAATTAGATTTTTAGAGTTTTGAAGAGCAAGAAACTGAGTTAATTTGGCCGAGTGTAGTAACAGAGTAGATAGACGTCATGTTAATAAATATAAGCCTGCTTTTATTGGTTATATTATGTGACGATCATGATGCGTCAACACGGGTGTAAGAAAATCAGTATGTATATACTTAAGCAATGACAACGATATACATTTTCTCAGATGATCTTTAACATGTTCATTTACGATTTTTCATCTTACAAAATAATATAAGAATTTAACAAGGAGTCAACCAATATTTATGAATGTGATGAAGTCTGCATGATCATTTACATATTCAGTGAATAAACTTTAAAGAGACCAGCAATGTTTCATCAAATTACAAAAATATATACTTGAACTTTATAAATGATAATATTGTCACAATCATGAACCATCGTAATTATAGTTTGTTACTGACTCGGCTGCTGGAAATTTCCCATTAGCTCGGTCAGTAGATTCTCTCGGCTAATAACCTGTAGTCCCTTCCGGGTTTGACTTCTATAATGGAGTAAAAATAATGATATACTTCAGGGAACCAAAATTTATGACTATCAAAATGTTATTACTGTATACTATTTTAGAACATCTCAAGTCCTATTTAAGGATCTGTAATATTTTTGTATTCTATTTTTATTTATAGATACATATATTCATATCCTTATATATATTAAGTACACTTACCTAACATCCTCCCTTTCACACTAAAACTTAACAAATGTCAAGGAGGTGAATGTCAACAGTTTGTATACAATTGTATGTCAGATTATCACGAGAGTCCCCAGTTATCCTGCAAAAATTTATACATTATAACCGAAAAGATAAACTGCAGGAATTATTGGCACTGCTAAAAGACGTGTCTATACAAGAAAATATCTGACAATGCTTTGCTTTCATAATCATCAGGTCAGTGAAAAGTTTGTAATTGGCCATTACATGGTAGTTATGTGAATATGATAGGGCACGCAAGGAAATACTTTTTTAATAGCATGGCTCCAACTTTGTTTATAGTTTATGTGTGTTTTGTATTTAGCTTTCTTGAAAAGTTTCAAAACAAAATCCATTTTAATTTTTGTTTTCTTGTTACAGGAATTGTAATCTCAGATCTATTTTGCATTTGCACCACTCTTATCTGCTGTTGAATTGCCTCACTAAGCAATCTAACAATAGTCTACATACCTGTTATAAAACATATAACAGGTTTTGGATATTTAAAATGAAAACTTGCAGTACATAAATATTTCTTATTTTCTTGTCTTTCAAAACTGGGGAATGTCAAAAAGCAAAAATATTTTGCAACCTTTGGAAAATATAAAATAAACTTTATTTACTTGACAACAATTATGAAACATGTACCTGGAGAAAACCCCTGTAGTCGGGCAGGTGAACCCATACCTATTCACGTCCGATTGTGGAATCGAACCCTGGCCGCCTTGGTGAAAGGCGAGTGCTGAGGTCCACTGCGCCACCCAACCACCTTTGGAAAGTTTACTTTTTTTGCTGATGGTGCTCTACACAAGCAAAGGCAAATCAAGTTTGAGCAAAGCATTTTCCACCAACAAACAAACATATATTTATGGTTTTGAATGTACCCCATGTCAGTATTACTTGTATGTCCTTCTGGTGAGTCATTAAGATTTTGATGATGTTTAGAGTTTGATCTGAGATACTTGCTATAGGGCTTGTTATTGTTATACCTTGTATTTCTTGGTTTTTGCTCCATCAAATTATTCGTTCATAGGTGGAGCTTGTACCAATGTAATATTGAATTTCACATGTCAATGAACGGAGTATACAATCTCCTTATCCTTTTACGAAATGTGAAATTGGGAGTTTCCCTTTTGTCGTTTTGTTAACAAAATGCCTATCACAGGTTTCACATAGCAATGGACAAAATTTGAACTATGATACATGTACCCTCATAATGTTCAGTGTCTTGCCAGACGTTTATGTGAAAAAGCAAGTCCAACCTTCATTTGTTTAAATCACTAGAGAGAAACCAATATTATCTTCTTTTCTTTATTATCTTTTAGTAGTATGCTCATATATTTAAGCTTTTCTAAAACTGCAACTGGCAGAAGTGTGTGTGTTCAGCAAAATTGATAATATTGCTTCACTTAAAAAAAAAAATCAAATCTGTCATTTTTGATAATGAAATAAATGAATTGTTTATGTTACAATGTACAATATGCTTTACACCTCAAAATAAAATGTCAATAATTTGTATTAGCATTCCTGTCGTATTCCCCTACTGGATAGTTTTGACAAAGATATGTTATATATATATCAATTTTTAATACATCAGTAAATCTGAATGAACAGGCCATCCTCATTATATTTTTGGTGCAATTTACACCGCCAGATTTTATTATCTCATTGAATTATCACTGAAGTCACAGTGCATCGCTGAGCCATTTCTTTTGAATAAATTGGGACTTAAGGTGCACATTCATGGATATAAACTGGATAAAACTGTCGGTGAATATATCCCAATAAAATGTATTACCTGTATAACTAAGCATGCAAGATACCTTTATCTCATGATCATTTGAGGGCTAATTTTTTGTATCGTAATCTCAACTGAGGGACAAACTAAGATATAAGCCAGAGACTGAGACAACCTGATCTTGCTAATTTACAGGTAATAGATTATTTTTTCTCGCACCCTATTTAGTTTTAAAATAAACGTGTATTCTATATGGGGCCTTAAATTTATATAGCCTCTGCAATACTACAAAGTAGTCTGTTGTAATAAAAGAAGAAAAGCGTATCATTTAATGAAAATCTATAGATATGCATCATTTGCTTCATAGATTCGTACATTGCCACGAGAACTTTGTGCCAAATGTCATGCAAAGGTACCTCACATAAAGTTGAAAAAATCTGGCACATGATACGACAAGAAATATCCCCTTTTGAGGTGAGAATGGTTACTCCATTTACTTCTTTTTGATTAGTGTGTATTTGTCATGGACAGTCCAGTTTGCAGAACCAAGGTGCATTTTAGACTACAAAATGCACTCCAATGAAAGACCAGATATTCAAGACACTGCCGAAACATCCCCAAATCCATATTCATTTCCACAAATTCTCCATTGAATGAACTTCTACAATGTCCTAGAGCTTTCTTTTTGCATTAAAAATTGCATAGAGTCTTTCTTGAGCAAGAATAAGGCGATAAAAGATGCCAAGAGTTTTCATCTACATAGCTATTTTTCTCCATTAATTTGTATTTT